CCTGGCTCATGGCCCTGCAGACCTCTTTTCAATAGGGGCCAGATTAGTGTGCAGCGGTGCTGTGTGGTTCATCGCTGCAGTGGTGGAGCGCTTTTGTCCCCGGTGGTAATCCGCTCGCTCTCAATGCCCCAAACCGTGGTATACGGTTTCAAAACAAGGCTGGATTATTGCCACTTTTGAGAGTGAAAAATGTCGGTATTGCCCAGCAGCCTGGTCTTTTGTTCAGAGTACGGTCTTTTGTTACGGGGCCCTGTTTCCTTTGTCTGAGTTTGGAGACCCCGGCCACGCATGTGAACCATACGTCTCCGATTCCGGAGTCCCCGGCAGGAAGTGGTTAACAGGAAGAATTACCGGTATTCAGCATTTGTGATCTTTATGAAAAGGCAGTGAGAAAACCCACTCATTCACTGAGCTTTAATTTTTTTTAATCCAGCTAGATTTGGATCATTTAAATTTCCCGAAGTTTGGAAGGAGGTTGCATAAACTTTCATTCTTACATTCTTCCTTCTCACAACTATTAACACCTACCATTCTTTTGAAATTACACGTGTTTCTTTCTTCAAAGTCATGCACTTGTACATGCATTAATTGCATATTAATTTGGTAATTCTCATGGAACATACATGTACTAAATTACGGAGCAAGATGGAAAGTATGGCTATAATCGACTGTCACGAGCATGGCTATAATTCTGTGTATCTTTAAAGGGTTGTTGCAATCAATTTGTGTTAATACAAACCTTCAAAATACACCTCTTTTTTCCAGTTTACCTTCTTTTCAACAGTTGTTTCACTATTTCAAAAGGTATTTTACTGCCTTTTTTGTTTTCATGCATAATATTTCCATATTTATGAGCAAAACTATGATGTCATCCCAGGAAGAAAGCCTCAATGCCTCATTTTTTTTGTGCACAACAATAAGCAAGCATCTATCCCTTTTTCATAATTTCAACAGGAAAACCTACATGTACAGGTATGCACTGAACCATATTTTCCCTGGATGGCAACACAGCAACAGCCCCCTCAAGTGTCCAGAAAAGCATGGATTATTTGAAGTGTTTAAAAAAGTCCACTTTTCATTGCATTGAACCATATAGGAATGTACAGTAGTTTTCATACGTAGAAGAAGAGTTCAAAGTTACAGGAAAATTGTGCCTCAAAAATATTCATTGCAGCTACATTTTAACAATGAGTAACATTTATCAAATCCTATTACCCAGTGGTTGACTTGTACATTCATGAAACTGTATATTGAGTATACCGGTACATGTAGAGTTGGAAGGTTGAAGGGATGGTTTAATGTCATATTGAAGCATTTTATGATTTCTCATCTTTTTGCGTGTTGATTTGATGCATCATTGACACTTTGTTCAATACGCAGCTGTACAGGTACGGTTATTCCGTTGGAAATTGTAATGTTGATTGCCTGATTGACCTTTGATCTTAGGGAGCTGTCAGTCATTAAACCAGCCCGGTCAGGACTCGGAAGATGCTGGGATACGTCGCCACGCTATCGAGGTGCACATCACTAGCTGCTACCAGTGCTTCAGCTGTCAGGCTCTGCTTTACGACGAAGCCGTCATGGCAGGCTGGTCGGCGGATGAGTCCAACCTGAAGACAAGGTGGGGGGAAGAATTGAAACTATGGTACTTGGCCTAAACAGGGGGATTACTTGGGCTTGGCTATTGAGGGAAGAGGGTTACCTGAGAAAGGAAGGGTGTAAATGATGGCTCTGTGATAAAGACATCGTGGCGGGCAGGTCCGGGGTCTAACCTAAAACTAACGTTGGGAAAAGCTTGATCTTCTTGGACCACAGCAGGGGCATTATCCACATCGGCAGGGAAGGGATTAGCTCTAGAAAGGAGGATTTAACTAGCCTCTTGCCTGTTATTTTGCAAGTTTTGGCAACTTAAGGGCACAGCTTGCATACATGTACAGTTCTTTCTGTAATTTATCTTCAAGTACATGAGAAAAGATTAAGGTGATGTCTTTCGGTGTCTGGAGTGACATGAGACTCTTCGAGTTCTGAGACCTCAGATTTCAATCTGCCATATTAAAGGTCACTTGAGCTGGAGTGTATGTGTCAGATCTTTTTTGATGTACATTTAACTATTTTGCCATTAAGATGTAGGCCTTGTTTGATAAGATTATTGGCCTGACAATCACGTACATGTAGGCTTGGGAAAAGTAGTTAAAATGTTAAGAAAAGTTTAATATCAGTCATTTCAATCCATATGTTTACACCACAACAGGGAAGAGAAAATCTTCTAGCCTTTTTTGATATTTCTTTTTTCTTTTTCTTTCGTGATAAATGCATCAATTATTAATAGTGGTCTGAGCCAAGGATTTATGACAAGCAATCTTGTTGGCTCCATTACCAAGAACTAGTGAAACAGAAGGCCTGTTTGTGTAGGTGGAAGGAAATCCTTGAAGATTGCTCCCTTTGGGGACAAATTTTTAGCAGCAGCTGGACACCTGATCATTGCATTGCCCTTGAGGATTTGACTGGTGGCCATCAAAGACCAGAGACAAGTTGATTGCCTCTCTGTGATGTTTAAGCTGTGCTGAGCTTGATAGTTGGATGCGAAATTGGATTGGCTCGGGAGAGAAGATGGAGAAGAAATTGTGTATTGTTGTGCAATCGAGTGTAAAGGCAAGGACGTTTTCTTTGAACTCGGAAGCAGCACCAAGTGTACAGTGCATATATCCAGTTTACATTAACCCTAAAAGTCCCAAATCCTCCAATTTCAATACTATTTTACATACACCCTTGGGGGTTGGGGTTCAAAGCTATTAAAATACGATGTACCGTCTTTGGACCATATGACTTGTGCTGCAATATGGGTTGATGTAAGTAATTATTCAAAGAAAATTCTGACAAGTTGGGATTATTGATGTATTTTTGGAGCAGTCAACACTCCCGGATAATAATTTTAGTGTGTCTTGGATGAACCATTGAAAATGTCGTTCTTGGAAAATACCGATGTCAGTGTCCTTGCTGCACTTGGCAATTTGTAAGTTCCTAATTTGGAGTTGTGACTAGGTTTCTATTCAGGAACTGGGTACTTGGTGTTTTGTGCGAAAGTTTCAACGGCGTTCGTCTCTGTTTAATGTCGTGCTTAGGCTGCACATTAACCAGGTCTGGCATCCCTGACTCCCTTGTCCCAGGTGCTGTTTCTGCAGTGCTCAGCTGGTACCCTTCCTCAATATTGCCATGCGGGACTTCCGCAATGAGGCGGTCTGCACCATCACCACCAGCCCGTCCTCCGAGAGCGTGCAGAGTATACACTCGGCCCCACTCCTCAAGCGAAAGGACAGCGGCGCCCAAAGCGGGGAGGAGCTCGGGCAGGCCAAGAAGGAGGTGGAGTCCAACCCCAGCGTGGATAACCTCTCGCTGGAGGAAGAGGACGAAGAGGAGGAAGAAGAGGCAGAGCAAGGTCAATGAACTTTCCACTTTTCTTTCTATTTGATTTTATCCTTTTTAAGAATTTTGGCTGGAATCCGCCAATCCGCCTTGGGCCGATGTTCAATGGCCACTTCCAAATATGTCGTCTAGAGTTAGGTTTAGGTCTTCGCTTCATTGGAAATAAACAGAGACGCGCTGACAATCGCAGACGTAGCTCTGGAAACTCGTTTTGGACGTGGTTTGTAATATCCTGTCCTCAATTCTGGTTTCCACAGCATTATTGTCCATAAACAGAGACAATACAAAGAAACTGGAATGTGCAATAAAAAGATGAGAAGTACATTCATGAACTGGCAAAATGCAGTTCCCACGAAAAGCCACTGTTGCTAGGAAAATTGCACCCTCTCTCGGTCCCACTCGAGCGGACATCCTAACACAGTGCAGTGAACCAGACAAGCATGGTCTTGGTTAAGCCGTGACTAAATCAACTGGCTGTGGCTAGGAGTAACACAGGTCTCTACGGGAAGTGGCTGCCAAGCAATGGCTCCCAAGTTCCACAGATGCATGTGCCACTATCATCCTTAGCCATAACAGTTGGACGTAGCCTTAGCCATATGCAAAATTTTGACTTTAAAAAAAGCTGTGTATAAAGTAAGCCACCCTTGAGTGTGTTTTCATGACTTGGACTGTTAACATGTTTCAGCTTTGGTCATTGGTTAAAAGTCTTGCCAACTTTGTTTATACTTGTGTAACGTCATTGTTCTGACTGAATGACAATCAAAAGTTGGAGTTGGTCTCTGAAAAAGTGAATTATACATTCCAAAATTTGTTGGATACATGTAATTCATAACAATACATAATCAAATTATTCTAACGTACTGGTAATTCTGGTTGGAGTCACCAAAGCATGCCTCAGAACTGAAGTACACCCTCTTTTAACAACATCGCAGAGAAATGCTGGTGGGAATTTTTTTTACCAGGGCGGGTGCACGCTAGGCACACAAGTGAATGACAGTACATTCAGACCGTGATGCTAGCAGAAATAAGTCACGCGTGCTTGGCGCTTCCTGTGCCTAAGATATGTACATGGACCTGGGTGTGGATATTGGGAGTTCCCACTGAAGGACTGTCATTTGCTACATGTTAAAACATGCCCTGTCATGTTCCCACTCGGAGCAGATATTGGCTGGATTGCATTTTCTTGAGTGCTTAAAGAACACTTCGAACTGTTGGGTTTGTAGGTTAAAAATATATGCAATTGCAACAGGATTCCACAAAAGTTTGCGTCAGATGAGGGAAACTTAAGTCTGGTTTCTGATGTACCATTCAGCTCCGTATCCTAATGAAACAGACGTTATTAGTCGGTGAAAATACTGAGGGTTCTTGTTGATTTTAGTTGTGCAAGATTAATTGAAAAGGCACGCTCAGAAGAGGCTCTGGTGACGTCATACTCGATTGGTTAGGTTGGGTTACGTTGGTTTAATATCCTGCACTTTCAGAAAATTTCTGTGGGTAGTATTCATGATCTTTTCTACTAACGAACCTTCGTCTTTCTTTAAACAGATGAGAAAGATGGTAACCTCCCGTCTCGCACCAAGTCGGACAAGCCGGGGCCGGTCACCAAGCTGCCAGTGGCCCCTAGCCTGTCAGCTGGAGAGGTGACCCTGAGGGGTGAGCTGCAGTCAGCCAGGATGTCCCCGATGTCCACCCGGCGACGGTCATCCAGCGAGTGTATGACGGTAACGGACCTTGCTGCTAAAGGTCACACCAATGGGTAAGAGTTTTTTGACGTAGATAGGAACTTGGACTTTGTGGGAGCTGTGTGTGTTTTACTCTATGATGTGTGAGGCTTGGGAGGCATTTGTGATTGAACTTGGAGCATGGCGTTTGCCCGCTAGTTGGCATATTAACCCTTACCCCCTAGGGTGTGTGGAAAATCGTATTAAAATTGGAGGACTGAGGACTGTTAGGGTTAAAGCAACTAGATTTCCACTTTGGCTTTCTGCACTTTGTTCATTATGGCTTGCAGTTACACGTGTGTTTATATAAAATAGCCGTAACAAGTCAGTGGCTTTCATACATACATGAGTACTTGATTCATTCACAGCTGTAGCAAAATGGGTGTGAAGACTGCCCTCAACCTTTTGTGCACATAGCTAATGGGCCAGATTTGGCAAGTCTGTCCAACATAGTTTGTTCCAAGGAATCTTGCTTAGTCTGCCAATGCTGTGCAGTAATGCAGTTTTACACTGTCAATATACCAACAACATTGGGATGTCAGGACCCAGGTTAAGTGGGGATGTGAAGCTGGGTTGTACGTGTACCATCCTGAATTCCATCAAAAATGTTCAGCAAACCTCTGGTATTGAGCTTAAGAAGAAACAGAAATGGAACAATCCCTTTCAGGAGAGAATGCTACCCTTTTCATGTACTCAATTACCCACTGTCTGTAAATCTGTTAATCTTTAAAAGTGGAATACATGCATATGTATTCTCTTGTCTGCTAAACATGTGTTTTAAGACCAGCTCAGGAGAATGGATGCGAACGATCATCAAACATTGGGTATTACCACTTACATGTTTTCCTATTCACAAATATCGTTTTAGTCAGAGAGTCAAAAGAAGTCAATATGCTATAAATTTCCAAGAATTTTGTGGAAGAATTTTACTTTCATATTCCCGAACACCCCCGTTCATTTTGTGGTATAATCCTTGTGCAATTCGTTCAGAGCAATCTCCTTACATGGACTTGGCGCGCGCGTGGCGAGTTCTGCGTGCCGCAGCGCACACAGACCCTTGACGGATAGGAATGGATTAAAGTGTCTCGCATCCAGGTGCCAGCGAAGCAGGCATTGTTGCATCGCAGCAGGCATCATCAAAGTTTAATATACGGTCATGTTGCGTTCCTATTTATGAATATTGTGTATTGGACAGAGCAGTTAACTACCAATCGTTGTTTACAGTGATCCAAGGTGTCTATAAGCGAAGAAGAGACAAAGCTACTTACCAAGTGACAATAAAAAACTTTGGCTGGGGGAAGGCACTGCATTCCCGTGGCTGTTTACGCTTGTTGAGCACTGAGTGTCTTTTTAACCCTAACTCCCTGGGGTGGATGTAAAATCATATTGAAATTGGAGGGTTGAGGACTGTTTGGGTTAAAGAGTGCAGAATTTATGCATTTGGGAAGATGGCGTGTTGAAATGTTGCTGTGAATATATAAAAAGCACACATTGTGCCAGGTGTGAAACCAGTGTTATCACTATGCCATTCTGATGATGTGTCAAAAATGTGATGTGGTAAAATTTTAATGTGATTTTGAGAAGCTTTCCTCGATCGGACCAAAACCGCACCGATGTTCTTGCCGTGGATGTTGATGCATGTGAACCAAAGTTGTAGCATCACAAAAAGAATTCCAAGGGAACCTCGATAGAATTTCCATCGCATCGGCAGTATTGGGTGAGGGATGACTTCAATCACCTTTACGCTTTAAGAGGGCCACCATAATGCCCGACTTGTAAGATTTCCCTCGTGTCAAAAAAAAAGAAGAAATTTTATCATGATTTAATAGAACAACAGCGTTCAGTGGATTAACACAGCAGTAAATTGAAACTTGAGGAGCTGTGTTCTTTTTCTTCTCCCAAAGGATGGTATTAATTGCACTCATGCATGGAGTGCCGCTCCAAGGCTGGACGGGCTTTCACCCTCTGACTGGCGTTATAATCAGTCCGTAATCAGCTAAATGCCTGTTGTGCCTGCTTACAGGAGGGGAGGGGGACAGTAACCTCGTCTTGGCACGCGATCGAGTTGGTCCAATTCATTAATCTCTGATTCGCCAGTGCATCCAAGTAATGATCCTTTCGCCCGAGTCTGTGTGTCAGTCGCTCGGTGTCCATTTCATATTGTATTTGTATTGGTCGTTGTTCGTTCATTAATAATACATGTACATGGACCAGAGATGAAGTTGGTAGAACCTCTCTCTGAGAATGAAATATAAAACAATGTTTATTTGATAGCGTAAACTATTTGTAATGGATGGACATCACCAAGAACCTGTTACTGTATCGACTATTATTATCAGATTAATGGGTTGATCTGATGAAATCTGAGTAGGCTTTACCTCGGGCTAGTTTGTCAGGTAATCAAGCATGTGGTGCAGGAGTTTGGGAAATGAATAATTTAAGAAAGGGTTACAAAATTTTGGAGTTGATGAAGAATGTTGGCATTCTTGACACAGTGTTTTGCTCCGAAAGTTTTATGTTCCATAAAAATGGCTCTCTCAGTCGAAGTGGGTTATTGCGTAGTAATGCTTCACCTCGTGCCCCCTCACTGAATTCATATCGCCTCCCCCCCCAGCAATCCCAGGAAAAAAGACGACACAAACAACCAGCTTCAAATTGTTTCAGATGTCGAACATCGTGACCTAAATCCAAACATGGCGACCTAAATCCCAACATCTTGACCTAAATAAAACAGGCTATAAATCCACACAATTCCTTCCACCTCCAACCCTTCAACCAAACAGAGAAACAGAAAAAGAAAAAAAGGCCCCCAGAAATAGCAGTTGACTTTCCTTTTGTATTGACCAACCTCATGGGGATTACCCACACTCCATAGCGGCTGTTTACTCAGTTAGGCAGAGATGAATAGAGATACATGGGCTCGTCAATGCAAGTTAGCCTTTGACTGTCTTGTTTGCAGAGAAGAGATGTTTTCAAGTATGAAATATTTTATTACACCGTAGTTCATTTGTGTTGAGCCATTGGAGATCACCACTTTGAACGTGAAATTTTCGGGATGCGGCTAGTTTAGTGCTATCAAGGAAAAATACATTGTATGTTCGTATTTGGCTCTTGCTGCCACGGGAAAAACAGGACATGTAGTTGCTGAAGGCTTACCGTAGATGATTCTACGAGTCGCGACTTGCCTGTGCATTTTGGAGGCAAGAGAGCCAGGATTGAAACAGTTATCTGGATCCTTTGAAAGTATTCGAGGAAGAAGTAAAAAGCATTTAGGCTCTCTGTGTGGTTACTTGGAGAGGAAAATGCATGGGACAAAGTATCATTTCTGATCGGTATCACATTCCTATCAGCTGAGCTTGAGATATTCCATGCATTAAATGGTGCAGTGCAATAAACGGGCAGGTATTGACTTAGCTGAGAAATTCATGCAGTTTGCAAAGAGAAGCTTAGAATTAGTTGGCCAAGTTTCTTGACAGCTTAATTACGCACTTTGGGAACCATGAATAGGGTTGCTGTTTCTCCCAATTGTGATGCATCGAATTTGTAAAAGGTCTGTCGACTAAACTCCGGGGAAAAAGGTTTTTGAGGACATGCATGACAGGTCAGTGCAAGCAAATCAGTTGAAAACCTCTGGAATCAACGCTCATAGAGATGAGCTTTAGGATTAACTCACAGCAGGAGACTGATCAACCCACCTACATGTAAGAACTTGGCTGTAATACACCCGATCATTTGAAAACTTAGCATGTACATGTACTCGCGGCACGAGTACATCTGACAAGTTTCAATCCCCCTTTGCACAGGGTGTTGTGGCGATGGTCATTTGTAGCTTGTGGCCCCACACATGTTGTTTGGCATGCAGTGAGCCTGTCAGTTGGAAAAGTTGACCTTTTGGCTGATCTGTCTCTGAGAAATGGGCATTTTATGAGGACAGGTCTGTCTGAGTTCTTCATTTTTGGGAAATCCAAAAGCATGCCTGCCACTTGTCTAAATTTTTAGTTCCAAAGGCCTACAAATCAGATTGTCCCAATTTTCGGAATTTTCAGAAGAAATCCAAAAATCTGAAAAACGTCTTGTACACCATGCACCAACTGAAAAGTTTGTCTGTCCTTGATAAACATGGATATCAACAGAGCATGGTGGTTTTGGAGAATAGCAAAGTGCATCCATGCGCTCCATAAGATTGACAGTGAAATCATGGCGGCACAAGCACACAAGGACTGAGACTTGACACAAACACCCTACAGCTGTTTTCAGTTTAATACATCCACACACAGCTTCATCATACATGTCTAGCTGCCAATGCAAAGTCACTGAAAACACAGGTGTTGGGATCTACATGTACATGCTATCACTGTCTGGTTCCCAGACCCAAAGATCCCGACAATATTTATCGCATGTTGAATGGATGGGAATGACTTGGTGAAGTGAATGAATGCGAGATGAGTGTAGCAGCAGTGAGAAAGCGAAATGCAAACGCAGAGGACAAAATGACATGAAAAGGAAAATTAGAGCACTTGCAGTGTTGGAAAATTAGTAAACTGCATTTACTTACCGGTAAGTGATCAAAGCCATAGAAAGAATACGGAGCTTATTACGAATGTTTTCACACATTATGGGCCTATCCAGTTTTATTGGACGGAAAGTGTAGGGCCAAGGATACGGATGCACATGGAATTCAGTCGACTTGCCCTAGTCTGGGGCTACTGGAAGCTGTTTTCCCGTCTCGATGTTTTTATTACTGTGTACAACTTCATGCAGTGAAGAGAAAAGTTAATGCAGTCGGGAAAAGGAACCGCTGGAACAAAAAAAACTGCATGTGGCAGTAGAGAATGTCAGAGCGAAAGAACCAAGTCAGAGGAATTACTAGTAGTTTGTGCAGGGACAGCGACTGATTCTGTTTTAGGTTTATTGCAGGAAGTGGTGTTCCAGAAGATCTTTGGAAGTGTCTTAAAACTGCTAAAACCCAGGACTTTCCATTGGGTGCTGGCCCTTGTCTCCTAACAGGGTTATTTGCCCCTGGACATCTTTAGGGTGAACAGTACTGGAAGTTATCTATAAAACTGAAAAAAATCCCTTTGAATGAAGATCACCTAAAGTGGGCTTAACATGGGTTTAAGTTGATCAAGTAGGCAATAGATACGAAGGATAATGTCCGCGTGATGTCTGCCTTTGGATAGGATTTCAAACGGCACTGAAGCACCAAGGTCTGTGGGCTCCAGGATGAGCATGCAAATGTATGTATCATTTTGAGACTAAAAGTGGCCCACTGCTAGCCATGATTTGTCACTGCTGTCTCAGTTTGCCACTGAGTCACATCAGGCTGTGAAATTCTGCTTTTGTTGGAAGTTAACGAGGTGTCAAGACCGCGGTGTGTGATTGCTTGTGATTTGGGTTCGGTTACCCTCTTAGTGTGGTGAGCTGGTCACAGCACCGTACCGGTAGCTAGAATGACAAATCAGTCGGCTGCAGAGCCAACGCAAGTGACAGTAGTCTGAAACAGTGAGCTGACAAAGACATTATGTTACATAAGTAGGTATAAACCTTTCAAGCCCGGAGGTCAAAAATATTCCAGACTAATATTGATTTTGTTTGTGATGAGAACTTCTGCAGCTGTGGGTAGGCTCGTGCTGGCGGACAGTATTTTGTATTATATGCAAACCAAGCTTTTGCGCACTAAATTGTAATGCAGCATTTTGTGCCGTTGTTGAAAGAAATACCTGAATAGGGACAATCTTGGTTTTTAAACTGTCCTCTTAAATTAGCCAGACTGGTTCCCTATCAATCAAATGCATGGAAGCTCGCAGTTGTGAACAGTGAACAGTGCTCACGTGTTATTTTGTACCTTGGACTTGCTCAGCATCATAGGTGTAATATGTCACTGAAGATGGGTGTTTAGGGTCATCTGAGTTTGTAAAATAGTTACCTTTTAATAATGCATGGATTTGGAACTTCGTAAACCACCTTCAGTATTTTTATTAGAATTCCAAACAAGGTTCTTCTACAAATATAAGAGAACTGGCATTGAAATTACCAAGGGCAATATTTGGAATTTTTCTGAATGGTTTGAATTCATGCGTTATCAAGCCTGAGGCATAAACTTAAAAGTGGTGTTTGACCTGATGGACTTCAATTTGTAACCCAGTCTTGCAGAATTACTTTGCAGTTGCCAGAGCCACTTTTAAAGTAAAGGTCCGTCAAAAATCTTTCAGTACTTGGACAATGTAAATCGATAGGAGCCTTCAACATTTTCGACCCGGTAATGTCCATATTTATCAGGATGCCACACTAAGTACTGCTTCAAAACAAAGAGATCAGTGTGCTGATGTAGGTGTGTCATCGTAGGATCTGGCCACAGTCTTAGAAGAAAACTGAGAGGAGTAGGCCTGAAATGGTCATTGAAGAATGATTCACGGCAGTACTTTGCTCTTTTTTTCCCCCTGGCACCAAGCAGCCACATGTTGGATCCCTCCTCTTCAGATGGAGCCTAGAAAACAGGAATGTAATGAAATTTGAGAATTCAGGATTTTTAGTCTTAAAAATAGGTCTGGAAAAGGCTACAGGAGAAAAAAGGAATCTTGGGCACAGTAAGTATGATGACCTGGCATGAAAGGCAAGATTCATTGACCATTCCACAAACTGTGGTCATTTATTGTTTGTCTCAAAGAGTGGGTTCCCCACCTGTTTGGCCATAAGTCAACCGTTCTTATATCCTTAGTCCTTTTAGCAGAAGGGCCCAAGTGGGCTTACAGTCGCCTGTACTGCAGCTGATCGGGCGATGTTGGGAGGGGGTGGGGGAGAATCTGCCCGGCCGTCACGTTTACTCTGGTAGTCAGGGTTTGTTTGTTGTACCAAGCCTTTGGGAGTTTTCCAGAAATGTCTTAGGATTTTGACACAACTTTCATGAAAATCGACATACCATTCTCACAGAATGGCAGTATTTCTGAGACAGATCAGCCCAAAGATAATGACTTACAACCACAGAACCCCATATTGGACTCAATTGAAATTTTGAAATGAATGTCTGTACGTGTACGTCAAGTTGGGAAAAGATTGGGCCTTGGACTGTCGATGGGGGGGGGGAGAGCAGAGTCTGAAAAGGTCTGACTTGGGATTAACTGCTTGTCATCGCGATTGCACCATTGCTGCTGTATTGGTACTAGTCATGTTCATCATGTACATAGTTCGCACCAGTTTCCATGATGTAGCCAAGTGAAAAGAATTGTACCCCTGTGAACTCAAACATTGTTACAATCCTGATTAAAACTTTGATTTAGTTTTAAAAAAAAGGTGTTGAACTGTGACCCACCACCCTCAAACTTGCTGATGTGTTAGCTTGAAGGTTGTTGAAAGTAATTTGTACCGGTACTGTACATTCAGAGTAGATTCTCAGATGATCAGATGAGGTCGATTCAGACATGTCTGTGATTACTGCAATACCGTACCAGCACCCTATCATCTGATTTAGTCAGCACTGCATTAGCTGTCCTTTTTCTTAATGATTGGGCTATCATGGTGGGAAATTGAGAAATTTTGTGAGTGCCAAGATGCCTGTATTAATTAACCCTAACCCTCCTCAATCCTTCACCTGTTGGAGGATTGAAGAGTGTTAGGGTTAATAAGTTGACAAGCAAAGGTTGCACATTATATCCCATCCTCACAGGGTCCTGGGTTCAAATCCAGCTGCTTCCCACAGGTTGTGTCCGTGGGCAAGCCACTCCACTCATGCACTCCACGAATAACTCAGCCGAGACTGTCCTCTCATTCAGAGGGAATAGAAATCTTCTCTCTCATTTCATGGCATTCATTTACAACATGGTCCCTCTGGATTGTGCTCCCTGAGTCTACTTGATGTGAACACTCTGAAATGGCAAGGAACCTGACTATTTTGCTTCAGTTGACAGGATAGCCTCACTCACACAAATTGCTTCACTCAGACAACAAAGCTGATTCAATGTTTTATCTATGATTTGGAGCTACCCATGGGAGTACAAGGATGGTAATCTTCAATTTCTCCCATTGCATCATCTTTATTTCCTTATATATTAAGTTTTTGACAATTTTCTCAGGGATCACCCCGCTTTTTGTTCAAGATGGTTGACTTCTTAATAAAGCCTAGAAGTGGAAGAAAGGGAAGATGATCTTTAACTTGATGAGCCCCATTGGCTGAAGACAGACTTTGATAAGTAACCAATCGTAACTTTGTTCCCTTTTTTTTATCTTCCTCCTTCTCCAGTGGGCGTGCCATGACCCTTCCACGCTGCAAACCCATCGAGGAGTTCAAGGACCTCCACCAGGGCTACCCGGGGCTGTCGACTGGCAGCCTGGCCTCCAGCGCCCGCGCTTCCACCGAGTTCATGCCCCCACCCAGCAAGGAGTGCAAGGTGGGGCCCATCTCGGTACCCTACCTCAGCCCCCTGGTGCTGCGCAAGGAGGTGGAGAACGTCATCGAGAACGAGGGCGAGGCCTGCCTGCGGGCTCCGAGCTTTGTGGTCCAGCACCCTATCATCTTCTGGAATTTGGTAAGCCACCTGCCCCAGCTGTGTTATTCGTTAAGCTTGATAACGTTCCATGGATCACTCAGTGCGCACTCATCTCATGGTTGTCTCATCAGTAACTTACATATGGAAGAAATAGTTCTTAACATACCTTAAGGGTTGATAAACATCATTTCAACATGAATTTTAAATTTCCAGTGTCCGTGAGAGATGTAGACATCCCCCACCATTCTCCTATTCCACTCACATCAGGGTGATATTGACTTACAAACACCATTTGTGGCATTGTTTATCTCTCACAAATCTATGTAGTTTTATTCCGTGGGGAATTTGATCCTTAAGTAACTCTAGCTGATCATTCAAGTGTTTTCTCTGAATCTTGATTTTGCACCATCGGCTCACAAACTTTGAAGACCCATATCACGCAGTAAGTCTTGATCAGTGGCATTTTAGCCTTCATCAATAAGGTTCAAGACAAGACCTCTCCCCCCCAAGAGATATCTTCCGGCTGCCACAAAAACAGCATGACCGCAGACAAAGATTTAGGCATGGTGAATCCGCCCCCCATGTCTTTGATTGCTGAAGATCTTTCTAATATTAGTTTTACATTTCCCCTCAGATTTGGTACTTCCAGAGGTTGAATTTCCCCAACTACCTTAAAGGAGTACTGCTGGCAGCATACAGCGAAAGCCGAGACAATACTGTAAGAGGGCTCTACAGTTCTGTTTCTTGGCGTTGTGCTTGTGAAGTGTGCTTGTGAAACATGATGAAGAAAGTGGGGAAAAAAATGTGTACAGTATTCACCGTTATGAAGATCGCATGTACTGTTCACGAGTACAGTGGTGTTCAAAGTTTGTATTCCCATGAGGTGACAGATGGAGTGTTCCTTTACACAAGGCAGAAATGTTGTCTGTCGCCAAAGGTTATTCTGTCAAAGTGGAACATTCGTTATTTCTCTGTAAGCCACCTGAATAAATCCACACTAACTCCCTGCCTGAATAAGTCACTTACATCACCTATGAGTGCAGAAATTCCCCATGGTAATATCTTGGAAATGCTCAGAGTTGAGTACTCAGGCAATTTGGAACAGCCCCTCCTTTCCCCGCCCTCAAAAATAACTACTAATTGAGTGAAACTGAATTCCATGAATTTTACCCATTTCCCTTGACACATACCATACTCATTTCCGAAATCTCGTGTGTGAAATACTGTGAATTGATTTGAAAGAAAACAAGTCAACATTGTGGTTTTTGTAATTTTCTTCTAATTGGCCCACTCTAATTGCCTTCTTCCCAGGACTACGTCCAGTGGTTGTCCACAGACTCGCGCTATGTTAAAATCAGTGTCCTGTGGGACAACGTCAAATTGTACGACGACAGCGTGCTGCCGATGTACCTACTCTATGGAACCCAGGGAACACTCTCTCTGGACCCTCTCATCAAAGATCAACAGATATTCTCCAAACCGTAAGTCAAACTCCACACTCTCTAACTATCTATTCCTGTCAAGCTTGTATATATGTTTAACCTTGTCACAATTTTTCCCCATAATGGATAGTTTGCTTTACAGCCGTCTTACAGGGCACAGTACCTTTGTTCTGCTTGGGCAGGCTAATTGTTACCAAATTAAAATAACCCAAACCTTCCAAGGTGCGCTGCAATAGACGCTTGTTTATCTTCCCACTTACAGGCCTTGACCTTAAGATTTTTTTTAAAAACTATCCCACTGGGAAAGTTAACTTCTTTGTCACCACTGTTTCAGCTAGTGAGCCATGCAGCCGTGTTTTGCACTGTCAGTTTTGCGAGATCACGGCCCGTTTTTTTAAGCACGGCCTGGCAGTGCAAATCAAGCCGTGCACTACGGGTACTTAATTCGAGTCTTGTGTAATCTAGATCCCAAAAAATGTGGAAATAAAATCTGAGCTAAAATTCAGTCTTTTCCCATGCTTTTTCCCAGCCCCATCAACCAAGTCCAACATACGCTGCAGTAAAGCACATGTATGCTGGGACATTTGGTTTGAACGTATCAACGCTGGTAGGCGGGTTCCCTTACTTACAAATAATGAGCTATAGCACCTTATCTATGAACTTGTAACAAAATAAATACAGGGAGCCATACTTGTTCACCAGCAATCGATCATGCATGTAATCAACCTCATTCCCATGGCAATCGTTAGCTGCCATATTGCGCCCACTCTGGCACGAGGTAGTCCATGGGGACGAGGTTGACATATAATCGTTTCGGGATTTGCGCTGCATGCTCACTACATCATCCAGAATGAAACGAAAACTAACAGAATTTCTTCTTGAAGGCAAGGGCTGGCCTATACATAAACTTTGTTATTGTCAATAATCAGCTTAAAGCTTGTTTAGGTTCTTCTACCTTAACAATGGAAATAGTGTCAAACTCTTCCGATGCCATGTTCATGCCATGTTGGCACAAGTGTGAGCACGTGGCCTGCCTGTGGTGTACGTGCGTGTGTGTACAGTGTGCGTGTACAGCGTGCATATGTATACATACTATGCATGTACAAGGTATTTTTTCATCCACATTGAAGTTGAGTCTTGTACTCAAATTGCTTGGTCTTAGCCAAATTGTCGAAGGAAACATGCACTTAGGAATACTGGGATTCATTTTGTATCATTATTGATTTTGTTGCTTATCACATAATTATCTGAATGTAATGTATTGCAAACAAAAAGGCAGAAAAACATTTGTCAAGTACTGAACTGCACTACCTGCATACCATTTTTTTAAAACAAGAAAGTGGCTACGAGAAATCTGTTCAAAGGTGTTTGTCATTCGCTTCTTTGTAGCAGGGCTGCTTAATCACATTATATAAAACAACAATTGCACACAGTTTTACAATTTTTTTTCTTCTAAAAGCTGTTATTTTTTGTTCAAAAAGGCAAAACTCTCACAAGGAAATGTCAGAGATTCATCAGAGACCACCAGAGAGCATCTAAAATAGGCAGAGCTTCCAGGGCCCTTACATGTATGCAGGCCGTGGATCCCGCCCGTAAGGGACTTCACGCTGCGCGCTCATGTTGCTTGCTTCCCGCACAAATTTTGGACTCTAACAAGTTTGCACTCCCTGTTTTTACATTTTGCACCCCCCACTTTTCAAATCCTAGCTAAAACACTGTTTGTCACCAGCTCGCAGGAATTTCTCTAGCCCACTTAACATTGTTAGGCAAAACCAACTTTGACTGGCTTTTTCAACTTTATTTTTGAACCGTTGGCATTTTTTAAAACTTAAAAGTGGAGGCTTCAAAACTAGGACAATTAATTATAAACAGCTCATAAAATTTTAATCAGCATGAAACCCAAGGAATCGCCAGAAAATGGCAAAATACAAACTAAAAATGAAGTGACAAATGGGCATTTGAGGATTTTTTTTATTGAAACAGGGGTGAGATTTCTCAGCTTTTTAGCTGATTGCAGCATTTTTGGTTCTGGATTTCAGCTTTATTTTCCTCACTGGCTGTATACAAAAGTATAGGAGATTTTTACAGTTCAGCTATTTTCAGCTGTTTTTATCATTGGTCAATCTCATCCGTGTTGAAAGTAATCTGTCACGTGATACCTAAGATGAAACTGGTTGTAGTCGAACAGAAAAAAACCCATTGGTCCAATTTACGGAGGCCATGTGACTTACTCACCGATGCTGGTGTGTGAATATCAAGATGCGCGCTGCCTAGAATTGTTATTTCTCACCCATGTCACACCTCCGCATGTGCAACGGTAATCACAGTGGACGTGTTTGAGAGCCCAAATTCATCTGCCTTCAGCAACACTCACATCTGCCCCTCCTCTTAACCTGCAGTTGCCCGAGATATATAATGAAATATGATTTCATTATTTCAAAAGGAAATTCGGTGAATTCCTAATTATTTTAGGCGATTGTCCGTGAGTATGTAATTATTGAATAATTGGGTCGTCGTTTTCTTTCATACACAATACACATGTACATGAATGTGTATTCCCTAACCCTTAAGTTTGGTGTACAGTAAATGACTTACATATAGGATCTTGTTGGACTTGACATGGCAAGGGATAATTACAGATTAATGTATTGGTAGACGCTTTAGAATGGGGTATTGTATTATGGACTTAAAGTTGTGATTCACTTGGCCTTTTATTTACACCTCATTCTCTCTACATTATTGTCATGATTCCTGTTGTTTGGAAGGCAGCAAGTGGATTGATTATTACTTGCATCTGCAATGATCAAGGTCAACAGCCAATCTCGTCATGTCAGTACATGTACATTGCTAATGTGTATAACAAAGTTAATTAAATCTAATTTAGATTTATGCTTTGGCTACTTTTACCGCTGTTTTTAATTGTGTTGAGGATGGCCTTTAAATAATGATATACCTTGTCTCAAGCCGTGGCCTTGGAAGCCAGCTGCTATAATCCCCCTCAACAAATGCCTGGTTATCTCTTCTAGTCAGCCAACAACTTTTCCCGGGTTTTCATTTTGACAAGATTTTCCTCTCGGTGTCACAATAAGCACGTGCATGAAACAGGTTAATGCAGCTGTGTCGGTGCACTCACAGCTCAACGATACTTGGTCCGGCAATGTGCATAACCAAATCCAGATTATCAATCAGTAGAAGTTCATGCAACGAAGTCACAGCCATCGGCCATTTTTGCAAATTTTTTTTTTAAAATGAGTTTCAGTATTCCCAGTGTTAGCACTTACATCATTGCCTTGGCGCAGCTCATGCTGTATGCCCCCTGCCGAAGAAAGTGGTCCAAATCATCAATTATTTACAGGAGTTCGTCCTTGCTGGCCCATTCATTAATTTTATTTTTTGCCGGATATGTGTCATCAGTAGCATGGATGGAATAAACCAGTTTTTGTATGTCCAACTAGCATACTCTTTGTTGTTGAGGAAGATGACTTGAACCCTAACTTAGGCCTTTTATAAGTAAGACAAAACCCGTTGCCCATGATATGTTGGCAGTTATTACTCCTCATGACAGATGAAATTTAGCATCCCTTTTATAGGAGTGTCCGTACCAATGGCATTAATTCCAGACATTCAGGAAGTAGCTCTTGCCATGTGACGTTGGTCATGCATGGAAGAGACTCTGCATTTCTCCCGGATACAACCTCTGGGGCTGAATTTGCTTGACTCGCAGGTACAGCAGTGCAAGATTCGAGTTGACACAAAGCAGGATGTTCTACGCCGGTGGTTTGCAGAGTCCGAGAAGTTGTTGTAGATCCCAGCTCTATCATCAAGTACATGTATATATCTCTTTACCCGTTATCTGTACTCCTGTTAGATATCAAAGACAGAAAGTGCTTTGTGTATTGGTAATGCATGCACAGGATATACATGTACATGTAACTCGAGGGACGTGTTGTGAACAAACCACGAAGCTGTTCTCAGAATTTTCCTTTTTCATCTTTATCATTTTGGAAAACCAGATCAAATCATTGAAACTATCTGTAAGGGAAACTTTCACCTGATTTGTCTGAAATTCTCACAGTAATCCCAAAGGGAACCACTGGTAAGATAGATAAATGTGCAAAGTGAAAAAAGTGTACAAAACGTAGGGATAAAACTGCAGATTTAATCTCATGTCACGTCACCGTGACAATTTTATTTTGACAGCCCCACGGGCTGATGGACTACTTGTGCTTCCAGTTACAGAAACATCCAGATGTTTGGTCCCCTAGTCTTTACCTTCAGAAAAACGTACACAAAATCTACGAAGAAAAATTGCAGCTTTAAAGTCACGTCACGAGATTTGCTTTTATATTGAAAAAAAAGAAGAAGAGATATTATATATTGGATTCTTGAGTATATTTGTAATTGAACGAAGCCGAAAAAAAACATGATTTCTCTTTCGTTCAGGACTACTGTCATTAAGATTGATAATATTGTGTAGTAGAAAAACGTGTACAAAACCCTAATGGAGAAAACTGCAACTTTAATCTCATGTCATGTGACCCCCCGATGACGTTACCGGGACGATTTTATTTTGACAGCCCCACGGGTTGATGGACTACCTATGCTCCCAATACAAAGTCACTCAGTTGTATGAGTGCACCAGTCTTTGACTTTAGAAAAACGTGTACAAACCTATGGAGAAAACTGCAACTTTAATCTCATGTCATGTGACCCCCCGATGACATTACCGGGACGACTTTATTTTGACAGCCCCACAGGTTGATGGACTACCTATGCTCTCAATACAAAGTCACTCAGTTGTATGAGTGCACCAGTCTTTGACTTTAGAAAAACGTATACAAAACCTATGGAGAAAAACTAAATATTCAAAATTCAATAATAAATCACGTGATGAGGTCATCATGACTTTGTTTTCCTAAACCCTATCTAGTTGTTAGGCTAAGAATCTTGACCTAACATCCATCGAGACAGGTCAAGAACAGTGTGGAAGTCTCGTTGTTGAAAAACGTGTACAAAACCCTAATGGGGAAAAATTAAATATTCAAAACTCAATAATAAATCATGTGATGATGTCATCATGACGAATTTATTCTAGGTCCATCCTTGGATGATGGTCTGAAGGTCTGCCAAGTTTGAAGTCAATCAGATATATAAAACTACCAAAGCCGACTACCAGAAGAGGATGTGTGCAAACCCTATGGGGAAAGAGTCTGAAAAAGGAAAAGAAAAAAAAAGGAAAAAAGAAGGGGAAAAAAAAACTTAAGGAAAAACAAAAGCTGATTCGCCGCAACAGGTAATAATGCCACTTTTTATACTGGGTACCGGTAGACGTATGTGTGACACGCTGTATCAGACACAGAACTGAGTTGACAGTACTTCTTGACAGGTGGTTCACATGTTGCACATACATATTTATTGTATTTTTATAAGGTAATATGACAACCAGAATTAGAAGCCATTACTGCAGTGGCACCATGCTTGCATGCATAATGCATGCGCGTTTTAAAAAGCTGTTCATAGTAGGGTGCTTTGACTTTTCAAGATGCACTTTCATCTCCATTTTAGAGAACATTCTCGTGACCGTAGCACTACTACTGTCTTTTCATCTCCTAGTGGTCTATAAGTTTTGCTGTTCATTTTTGTTTGTGTTTGTTCGTTTTTTTTTTCTCCAATTTTGGAACTTTTGCACAATAGTCTGTTTTGTTCTTGACTTTTTGTCAAAGCTTATTTTTAAATCGTAAATGTTAAGCTGAAATGTCCAAGATGTACGTACACACACATACTGACCCTAAATTCAGACTTAATACAAGTGCCTGTAGTAGTCTGTCTTATATTCAGCTTTATTCACAACTATGCCTTGCACTAGCAGGATGCTACATGTACATGTCATTAGTTTTGTATGGTAATGTCACATTACAGCATTTTTACTAATTATTAATGCATTTCAATTCTAATGCATTTTTCGTATCATTTCTTATGCATCAAATTTTGTGAAATCCCCAATGTTGTCGCCTTGTTGTTACGCGGCTCTTCATTATGAATCCAGCAACACTTCCATGCATTTCCTTGCAGTTGGGTGAAGCAAAGAAGATGACTTTTGACAGTCCTGTTCTACTTTTGCCACTGAAAACCTTTTGTGGATCAATATTTTCAGGGGCCTTAGAACTACTGGTGTACTGTCAGCACCCAGACTGAGCCCGATTTTCTCCTGAGGCGGGGTAGACTGTGAAACTCCAAACAAATAAGCAAGACCGGCCCACATTGCAAGCTGCCATTATTAGTAATAAATTGTCCTGTCAAAATGACAGATTCAGTCTCTCCTCAGTCTAGCCTGATCATCACCAGGGGGCCAGTACTTTGAGGCTGATCAACAATAAATTTTGCTTACCTGATTTATCTGCTGGGTGTGTCGATGAGGATCAGTCTCGGGAATATTAATGAGTCTTGTGTAGAAAGTGTAAGGTCCGAAATGCAAGTAGGCAACGCATAGTATTGAGACCTGAGGCCAACTTGGAAAATTGCTAAGGAGACAAAAATTTGGTTAGCAATAAATAGGTCACCAGCTAAAATTGTTTATGATGCATATTGTTTTCACTGGTTCTCACCTGATATTTGTGCTTTAGCAATTACAGATATTTTCTCCTTAGGTGCTCTTTGACATTGTCCAAAAAGTTCAACCTTGCAGAGCTGTTTCGCAGAAAACACAGCCTGGAAGATTAAAACTCCAAAAGTGCAAATTTGACTAAGAACAAGTTTGTATTATCAAGAATGGATTTGTGCCAGGGAGATGTTATTTGATTTTAGACTTTTGCCCTGGCCGACGTGTATTATAACATTATTGTATACTCAGTGTTTTCCCCCGAAGGCTCTTTTTTTCACAAGCCTTCAAAAAATCTATCATTAATTAGGTTTATATTGAATAAAGTTGCAAGCCTTACATGTATTCAAGTCATAGGCATCATGACTTAATTTATTTCATCATGAATTTGTGCCTTGTAACTCCCTGAAATTGGCTCTGCATTACCAACTCATACATGCACATGGGGTTTAAAACAGTTTATTTCTTACAGCTCATACAAGTTCCTGCAGAAGCTGAGATCAATAACGGAAATTGAAATTGTTTTCTAAAACCCAATATCTGTCTGTGTATTGTGTTGTAGGTTCATGATTCAGCTGGTCAAGTACATCCGTTACAACAACGTGTATCAGCCAATCATTCTCCTGCTGGAAGAGTTCAAGAAGCTCGGGGAGAACACGGCGGCCAGACGCAGTATTTATCGGGAACTTCTCTTTTTGTCCTTTGTGGCCCTAGGCCGAGAGAACATTGATCAAGGTAGGCTCATCCAAATGCTCCAAGTCCCTACAATGCTATGTGCGTAAGGTTCACTGTGCATAGTGGTATTGGCTGCTCAATGTACCGGTACCTGTTGGTATTGACGTTCAAGACTCATGGATAACCTCTGCTTATGGGGCCCGCAAAGCTTTCCTGAGACCACTCGGCTCCCTGGGACCCTGCCTTGTGATGCTGCCCTTTGGGCAAGGAAAAAGGGACGAAAAGCAGAAAAAGGACCAAAAAAAGTTTTCCAAACATTACGATGTCAGTAAAATTGATTGATTTATTTTTCTAAAGATAACCCTTACCCACCTCAAATCCTCTGAAATCCTCTGAGTGGTTTTGGAGGATTTCAGAGGACTCAGGATGAATGATGATTGGAACATTGGAGGATTTTGGAGGATTGAGGATGAATGGTGATTGAAGCATGGAGGATTTTGGAGGATTGAGGATGAATAGTGTTTTAAAGGATAGAGGATTTCAGAGGATTGACGCATGCTGATTTAAAAGCTGGAGGATTTTGGAGGATTGAGTTTGAATGCTGATTGAAGTACTAAAAATCAGTCAAATAGTAGTGGTGCTTATGGTCACACATTATACTGTTTATAATATACATGCATCCAAGGGCAGTGTGTTCCATTGTTCACTGCTGCTGGTCATAAATTACACAATTTCTCAACTGCAGTGTGTTAAAACAAAGGCACGTGTCTGCTATGTTTATGCAAAAGTAAAGCCGTTAGCCAACTCCTCAAAAAAACAGCTTCAGCCCAGCAACCAACCTGATGTGCCAAACCCTTCCCCTCCCCCAAGAAACAAAAAAGCCCCTCCTCCCAAAAAAACAAAGCAGGACCATGGAGGATTTTGTAGGATTGAGGATTCAGGTTTCTTTCATTTTGTGCATAAGCCAAAAAATGGAGGAGTTTGGAGGATTGAGGATGAATGCAGTTTTTGAAGTTGGGCAATTGGAAGATTTTGGAGGATTGAGGATGTGCCCTAGTAAAATGGCCCCAGTGGGTCAAGGTTAAAGCATATTGAAATGTTTCCATTTCAGTTTTTTAATGCTTTCATAAATGGCTGGTTAATGGTTAGATTGGAGGTGGACGTCAAGATACAGATGATATCTATGTTTCTCTCATGTACTCTGGATTATTGTAAATATTTTCGGACAGAAGGATTGAGGGGGAGTCTAATGCTACAATACGGAATTTCATTTTGATTTCCTCTGTTCATGCATGCATTTAAGCATCTGAAACACACATGGTCATTCACAGCCTAAGTTATCGGTCTCACATTCGCCAGAGATTTCACACCTTTTTGAAATAGAGGCGCAAAACTGAAACCTTTCAAGGTTGGGACTTGCAGAAGGAGGTGGCTTAAACAGAACAAGGCTCCACTGAACTAACATCGGACATTCATTAAAAATGCACCCTTTGGCGCCCCAGTCAATCTTGTTTCCTACGTGACTGTGCATGTGTGAAGACCAGGCTGATTTTGACGAGCAGTGAGCGTAATCAGAAGCGATATGACGAGGAGGTTTTGATTCAAGGCCTGTCACAATTCAATGACACAGTATATGTGTTCGAATGTCCTCTGAATGTTCTTGTGTCATGGCAGTTATGGCCTCTGATTGCAACTGAAAAATGGTTAATACCAAGAATTGCACTACAAACATGCTCGTGACTTTGAAGGTTGGAGCAGGAATGTGTTATGGGAAGGCTTGAAGTTGACAAAAATCCAGCAGTATCCAGTGAGTTTTTTGCTTTAGATAAACATGGTAAGTCGTACTATAAAATAAATAAACAAAACAAAACAAAAACACTCTTACGCCACTTTCTTTCAGATTTTTTATTCAAAACACTTTCGGCCTTGTCCCGATGCATTGCACCTGAGGATGCTACAATAGGATGTTGAATTTTTTTCTTCACCTCTGTTTGAAATGACGTGCCTTCTAAGATTGATTTATCTGTTTTCCCCCCAATCTTGACAGATGCCTTCGACCAGCAGTATCGCCAGGCCTTCTACAAGCTGGAGAAAGAGAACGGGCCCTTCGGCAAGCTGCTCATCACTGATGACAAACCGCCCCCCTTGTCGGTCCAGATGTGCAGGAAGGCGTTTGGGGACCTGTTACTGTAGCGAGTGACGAAATGCTGACGCCATAAGGAGAGCGTTACCTCTCTGGATGAAATCTTCGGAAAGAGGTTGTTACACTTTGATGAAAACCGCTTTGGCTTGTAGTAACGCCGGGCTTTAAGATCCTTTTGTAGTATTATTGATTGTACTGTTTCCACATTTAATTGAATTCCACAAGAGAAAAAGAAATTGAAACAACACATCCAGAGTTTTTGTAATAAGATGAAGGAACATCATTAGCTGTCCATGCTGAAACCCGTAGACACTTTAAAATTTATCAATATTGGGATTTCCCCCAACAGGCAGATCTAAAAACGTGTCAAAAAAGAAGAATGACTGGTTCCTTTGGGCCGTTCCTGGTTGATTAGCTTTATCTGCTTGCCATATTCACACTCCAGAAGAAATTGAAATGGAATTCCTCAGTGTTAAAGCACGGAACGAATTCTGGCCTTGAGGTTTATGCTGATGGTTTCTTGGTAGACTTCTTCCTTGACAGGTTCAGACTAGAGCCCCGGGCGGTTACACTGCATGATGCTTTAAAGCTGATTGTCAAAGATTGGGAATTTCTTGGGACTTTGTTGAAGACAAGGAGGTTTTTTCCTCCAGTGGAACGTGCTACACGTGCATGTATGAGTTTCCTCTATAGTCGGTGCTGATTTTCAGTTCATCTTAATGTATTTTGCCTGTGAAGAGGATCAAAGCAGATTGTCGCTGTCACGTGATAGAGTCCCTTACGTTTACTTCCAGTTATTCCCTTATGGGAGGCTGCACAACGATTTCAAATACGAGTAACAGGGGATGTGCAAGCACTTAATTCGTAAAGAATTTCTTTTTCACATCACGGCTCTCAACAGGAGTAGTTTTCCTTTTCCTGAAAGGGCATGCTGCTTTTATACTGCTCTTTCAAGTAAGAAAGCCAAATTAATTTAATCAGAGAGTAAATTGTGCCTATTATAATGTGATGATATGTTCACATCCAGCATCAGTGGTGTAATGGGGGAGGGGGCTGGCCCCACTCCATCCCTATGCTTGAGGCCTGACACCCCCCCCAAGAAAGCCTTAGTCAGAGTTTTGACTGTGACCGAAATCACCGAATCCATTGAGTGCCCCCCTCTATGGAATGAGGGCGCCCAGGTGCCCCCCTGCAAACCTATTCCAGTCATGCCACTTTTTGGGGCTGGAATAAGAAAGAGTAAAAAAAAAAAACTACTTGGATTCATTTCAAATGCTTCGAGTGTAAGGTGTGCAAAAATGCAGGCTGGGCTATGTGGCCCTTGGGTCCTTGACACGGCTCAGCATGTTACCTTGTGTGTGATTGGCTGTGCCGTGTGGACTGTGATTGATACTACATTTTGATTGGATGATTGGTGGTAGAAGAAAGCGCCACATGGCTGAGGGCCAATTCCTGTGAATTTGTAGGGTTTTCCCCTTTTATGTACAAATATTTACTTGTTTTCTCTGTATATGATGCCTGTGGAATACATAACTGGAATCCCCAAGATACAGAGTTTTGTATATGAGATAAATCTTTAATTCAATCGAGAGTTGCATGATATTTGTTCATCTTTATATCAATTGTTATTTTTTGTTATGCTCTTTTTCCTGATATCGAATCGGAAATATCTTCTGGTAACTTTTACCAAAATTTTTCTGTTTTATTGCAGGGTGTGCTTTTATCAAAAGAAGAATATTTTTCCACATCCGGGTTAATTTGTGTTATCTTTTTATTTCTTCATTACTATAAATAAATTTCTCCATTACTATAAGATAAAAAATCCACACTTTCTAAGAAAAATATTAGTCTGAATAGTTTTAAAAAAATACTTCAGACAAAAGCCAAATATGCTGGCTATACTGCGAGCGTGTTGGTGTCATTTTCAATTTGCAAACTTTTGGAGCCTGCGTGGAAACCGATGTGCCGCGAATTATCCCGATAATCAAAACTGGCAGTGACGCGCTAATCAATTAAGAAACAACCCGAAGCAGGTGCGATGTCAGCTCCAGGGAGGGGATGGTGGAAGGTGCGGGGGGGGTTGGGGGAGTAAGAAGCTACCTGTAACTCTCACTCGACGCCTACTGGTTGACCTAAGATTTCTGGGACGAGCTGATGAGATGGGACATTCCCCCAAACGTGGACTCGGGAGGGAGACGGGAGTTGGGAGTTAGCGGGGGTGGACGACAGTATTGATAAGGGTTGACGATTGACTAGAGATTGACTAGATGGTAGGAAATGCTGTAAGCTGTGAAAGCGGTCAGTGGTGAGGTAACATAAGGCCAACATGAATAGAATGAGAAACTCGCCATTCTAAACAAACTTGAGGAACTCCATTGTTTTTCAATTGACCCATGCAAGCGCATATTACGAGCTGTGTATTGAAGGGGATGTTTTTAATTTGAGAAACCGTGTGTTCTCCAGTTTATTGGGTTTTTTTGGTGTGTTTTATCATCAGAAGCTCAAACATTTATTTTTTTTATTTTAAAGTGAAAGGACCGGAACAAAGTGAGCACAGAACATACTGAGCACGCCGTAATGAGTGCATATAGCATATCAGTTTTCAATAGCACGTTCTGCGTGTGTTACATTATTTTAAATTGGACTCTTCGACCACAGGTCTTGTTAATATTTTCTGAAAATCAGTCTGTGAGACGTTGAACGAACCTTTTAATTCTCTTTCACTCCATTTTTGTACCCGTCGAAATCAGCATATCGTCATGATATAAATGCTTCCAGTAATAATGTGCCAACAAGAATGTTCCGTAGTCCTTTATAACCCACTCGTTTATATATATGTACACGAAGTTGTATTAACTTTTATGCTATTCGCTCTGTTGCAAGGAAGCCGGCAAAATGATCATGAAGCGGCTATCCTTGATATTGACAAGGAGTTTATTGCACCGGAGGTTGAGTGAGAAATCACACTTTTAACGTGACCCCTTTTTAGAAGAGAGATGGAAAGTACAAGTGTCAGTTTTGAAGCTTGCCCAGACGGGAAGTCTATCTTGATTTTGATATTTAAGAGCTTTGCTTTATGGTTTTAGTTTTGGACTTATTCCCCCACGGTTTAAATAGAATGTTTGTGCCTTTGAGGAAAGCGGTGGCAAGCCAGGAGGTTGAATTGGGCAAAGAAAAGTCGGTGTAGCATTTTAAAAATCGGTCATACCCCAACACGAAGTTGTCCTTAGATCCAACTTGACTTGTAGGTGAAGCCCATCCTTGCTGTAGCTGATCTTCGCGTTAAGCACACCTCCCCCACCTACGATTGTGAAGTTGCCCTTTAACGGACCGACAGCGAGTGTTAATTTTTGTGACGCGATTAGCGGGTCTTTTGTCCGTTCCATACAGCCATTTCCGACAGGTGGAACGGGAAGCATAACAACCGTTGACCGTCACTGACGCAATGCCTGTCAGCGGAACAAACCAAGGCTCACCACAGCGTGGCGGTAGCTTAGTTGGTCTTGCCACGTGTTCATAGAAAGGCGAGGCATTGCAAAGAGTCGTGCGTAATCTGGTGTTTGTCACAGATGGAAGGAATCCCAAACGGAGCACTTACAAAAGTGCTGTGTTTTGATCCCAATCCCCAGTTAATTGGGGTGGGTGGAGGGTGGGAGGGTCGCCGATCGACAAGTCAGTTTCTCACCCGATGAATTTCTCAGTAATATTGGTGTGGTGGGAGTGACGGCGCGTTGTTCCAGTGATGCGGTTAAGTTCTTCATAGGGCGTCGTAACCATTGAGTTAATTTCCGTATAATATGTATGTGCAATTTAGTCTCCATGTCTGACAAATTGTCCGCATTTTGTGCCGCCAAACCTGTAGGCACGTTATTCATTTATTTAATACCGCAGCAGACGCTGCACACAGACAACAACAGGCCTGTTATTCTCGGCATTTTTGCCTAAAAACCCAATCGCATATTTTGCGATGATCAAGTCTCAGTTTTTGAAAAAGGGATGTTAACATATTTATGTCATTGATCTTCCTTTCAACTGTTTTGTAATTACAACAATGAACTTCGTTAAATTGTGATACTTATGCTAATGGAATTTATTCGATAATTTTCGTTCATTTAGTTGTATATTGAGGGTTCAGGATGCAGATATTTTTTTTCTTGCCGTTTGTTTCCACCGTAGATGCGAAACACTGCAGCCCGAGTGGTGGTGATTACAGGTTTTTTTGATTATTCTGAAATTCCTAACATGGGGAACTGTAAATTAATTTCTTGCATTTTTATTTCCAGTCCTACTGCCAGAATGTGTACATTTTGTTATGTATAGTGAGGTCATTGTACAACTGATTACTAAAACCATGTCAAATGTAACTTAATATGAACATAATTTGGAAAGCAAAATTTCTGATGTATTATATCGATGTTTCTATGATCTCCGTGACATATCAACCCATACCAACCCATGTACATTAATCTCCAGTGTTGTGTTAATACTTGACATGCCTATACTGGTCAAGTTTCATTGTCACGTAGCCTTCGTTATCAGCCGTTTGTGTATCCGAATCTGTCCATGTGAACTGTCCCGCTCTTTGTCTTGTAAATTGAAATAAACTCTCTGTGACATTAGTAACCAACAATAATGTCAAACTACTTCCGAGAAATACTAAGAAAACTTTAAATAAAGGTCAAAAATATTTCAATTCCATTTGGTTCGATGCTTTTTTTTTTCTCGTTTCCCATTGAGATGGGGATTGGGGTAGGGGCTTGACCGCAAGAGGAAATACGGGAACGAGTTGATATTGTTTTTGCCCGAAGCTCCGATCATAGTGCGTCAACTGAGGTGTTTTCCCCGCCCCTCCCCCTCCCCGCGCAGCAGTGAGCAACGCAAAGGGGTAAATTGCGCTTAAACGACGTCTATCAGTAAGATTTGACCTCGGCCTTGAAGGGCGATGCCTCGGCCTTGGACTTGGCCTCGGAGATCTCCGGCCTCGACGAATCAATCGAGGCCGGCTCGAGGCCGCTCAATTTCCCCTACAATTTAACATGTCTTTCAATCAAAAAATGTGGATTTTTTCTTATAATTTTTACAGTTAGGGCCTACCAACCTTCATTAAGATACATGAACATAAAAGCAGTGTCATTCATGTCAAGTTGCAACATTCTTTTCTTGGGTTCTTTGTGTTTTTTTTTTTCCTCGGTGAACCAAAATCACGTAATATGCGCACGTTCCGTAATGTCCGTGCGACGGGCACGGCCGCCGCTGCACATGTAGAATTAGAACCTTGTTGTTCGCGAACCAGTCTCACCCACACCATAGTCTGGTCCCCCGTCTTCCACTTTGCCATGAATGAGTGTTGCGGCTTTCCTAGAAGATGTTGGAGACCCTGATGTCTTTAAGATGTAACCAGCATTTTCGTCAAGTCTCTCATCATTAACCTGCCATTCAGCCGTTTGACTTCAAAATAAACAATTAATACATCTAACAAAATCTTGACCTGGTTTTGAGTGACCGATTTGATTTGTTTGGATATATAGCTGCCCTCGGCCTTGGTAGCTGTGGCCTTGGGGTTAAGGCCTCGGTCTTGGCCTTGGAGGTTGTGGCCTTGACTACAACACTGACGTGAATGCTTGGATGGTTGAACCATCTGGGTGCATTGCTGTAGTCTTCGTATAAGTACAAAATGAACATTGAATTCAGAATATCTACACAAGACAACGTGAATGCAGGGACAGCAACAACCATTGTAAGGGCAAGGTAATGACGGTGGGGTTGATTTCGAGTTGTGAGAATGTGGGTGCGTTCGATTAGCTCACATGGGGCTATACCCTTAATTGCCTGGGGTGACCACGGACGTATATAAAAAAAAATGGACTTGCAACGCCTTTGTATGAAGAAGAAGCCAACCAGCGGCCATTTTACCGAGCCGAATACAAATGCGTGGGTTGGCTCCCCTCTATTGACATCAAGNACACGTCTGTGGGGGTGACCGAGTGTGCTGTGTTAAACAAACGAGATGGTGGGGAAGAGGTTAAGCCCAAGTCAACTCGTGAAAGAAAATTCAACTCCCTCATGATAAACGTCATGGGTGTGTGCGTTTTCTCCAAAATTACCGCGCTTAGACCATTCCAGTCACTCAGCATTCTTGTTGGGTGTGACGTCACGGTCTGTTTCTCCGCCATTGTTATGGAATCATTAACATGATACAAAATACTCATTCGTAAATACCAGGGGCAGTTTTTCTAGTCCTATTGGTCGGAACGCATCACGTGACCGCATATTAATATTTGATATTGCCCCCCTGAGGCTGAGTTCGGCCAGGCGGCTCATTCTCGAATGGTCACGAACAGCTTGATACCAAACAGCCCGGTTATTGCTGTTAGTTAGTGGCAAGCAACTTGCAACATGGCGGCGTCCATGTACGTTATTTGAGAGTTAATATTTTGATGGGCTGAATTCTTTCTGTTTAAACAGGAACATTCATTTCCTTGTTATGGAAAATAACTAGTGTTAATTTTGCAAAACTTTCCATTGTCTCTGGCTTTGGAAACCATTTTTTTCCTTTTTGCAGCTGTTCAAAAATCAAACTCTCACGAGTTTTTTCGTGTGTTCGTGTAAAACCCTGACGAGGAGGTGGTGTGCGATCCTGTTCCGGGTGTGTTCCCGCCCTTCGAGCGCGAGAACAAGAAACTCTGGGCGAGAACAAGAAACTCTGGTCAAGAACAGGCCGCCCGAACTCAACCTGAGAAGTGATTACGCCCGCTGTGTAAATCGCGCGCAGGCACATGGATACGAGACAGTTTATTCGGGTCTGATTGGTCAGGAGTCTGTGTGCGCGCACACAAATTCATTGAATTGAATTCTACTGGACAACTTTCAAAAGGAATATACCATAAAATGGACGGGGGTGTTCGGGAAAGTGAAAGTAAAGTTTTAGAACAAAATCGTTGGAAATCCATCATTATGTTGACTTCTTTTGACGCTTTGAATAAAAAGATATTTATGAATGGGAATAAATATGTGCTTGGCCAGTCTTAAGCTAACATTTAAGACCTTGCTCGGGAGATCAAACGCTCACGATGCCCTCACCTGCGGTTTGGGCATTTAGTTGCGTCCATTCTCCTGAGCCGGTCTTAAACACACGTTCAAGACCGGCCAAGCACGCTTATTCCCGTAATAATACACAACGGGTTTCCACTTCAGTGGATAACGTAAAAATATTAATTGCGCGATGTTATCGCTTTTTGTCATCACTTTCCGGCACTGTGGGCGAGTAGGCGATAGACTCAGACCCAGTTTCGTTCTAAACGCACATAAATAATAATGACCATGGCGTTTTTGGACATATCCACGTCAAGAAGTGAAAACAGTGGAAAAATTCAGGTGCATGTTGTGAGAGGACCAGGCAAACCGCTCAGGCTTAATTTAACTTCAAGGTTACCATACTGTGCAGAATCGAGAAATGATAGTAGACGAGATGGGCACTTTCGAACACATACGAGACTAGCTTCTGTCATTCACATCCATGAACTTATTTTAGCCCTCTCTCTGCCGGTTTAGTCTTTCGGAATTCCAACGTTTCTTCGGAAAGCTGTCACTGCTATATTTTCTTCCGTTATCGAAACAAAATATAGTGGCCTTGGCGACAGTCACCTGTTCCACGCACCTCACTGGCCAATCTTGTTTTGTTTTCATCACAGTGATTTTGCACCCAGGTGGACGGCACAACCTCAATAGATATTCGTACGTAAAATTATTCCTTATGAGATTCTAATCTTTAGAAGGGCGGTTTTCAGCGAAATATTAATACATACAGCCTCTAAATGCGCGGCTCGTAGAAGTATGTAATTTAAACGTAATTATTCAATCGTTACCGGCTCCTTGATCAATATCTTTATAGAAATACATGGGGTGAGCCCCTTTTCCTACTTCTCTCTATATGAGACAAAATTTGAGTCAGGAGAGACTGTGTATATACGTTCGGCCTTCAGAAGTTAAAAGAGCTGATCTGAAAATATTAAAATCAGGAAACCATGGTATTAAACATTCGAACTTTCAAATTTCGAGAAACTGCAATAAAGGATCTTTCGTATTAGAAAGGGACGTAGGCTGTATTGCCGCTGAATTGTGCACCGTGATTTGACTATGAGTATTGCTAAAGGATTTCACTGAATGGTTGCTCATATTCAAGATGGGGTCATACCTGTATTCAGTAGAGCAAAGCACATAACAGTCAGATACGCATTATTTCGGAAAACAGTTGACGCCAGAAAACTCCTGGCATGCACACGTTAAACACATTAAATGCACCCAGGCCTGGCATAGTGCCCGTTTATCTTAGTACAATGCGCCAGCGTTGTGAAGGAAGAGCTTGCGAAAATCAATGCAGATTTCTGGTAATATTCTGCCGGAAGGGCATTGAGCGATCAGTATCGTTGTCCAGACTCGATCACATGAATGTGATCAATCAGCGGCACTCCCCTTTTAGGTCAATTACCCTGCGGGAGTCATCGGTTCCTAATGCTTTGTCATCAAGGACTGTACAATCTGGACCCCTGACGCATTCAGCTGGGATAAAAATAAGAACATGTACAAAGATGAGGAATTCTGAGATCCAGAAGTCGATCTTTGTCACTTTCTGCTTCGTTACTTCTCTGAGGTCGTACTGTGAAGTTGACAGGCTAATGTACGTGCAACCGGACCACGTACATGCATCAGGCCTATTTGCACCTACGTAGTACCCCCCAGCGCTTGTATTCGACACTTCAAAAAGGCGAATTCTTTCCTTCTTTAATGTAGTCTAAATTAGAACGCATCAATTCTTAATAAGGTGTCATATCGCATTTCAGGGTTGTGGATAATGTCACAACAGCTCGGATATCGCCCGTACGTTACCTTGGGAGCCGGACACAACTGTTATTTGAATTGTTCAAGAGGCAGATTTTGTAGCGTGCGTTTTTGGCAGATGTTGTAATTACACTGTACTGACATTTTCGGATATCAAGTTATTTTGACGATCGCCTTTTACGTAGTTTTTGCGCCGTTTTTTCTTGTCGCCATCTCTTTCCTCCCCCGAGTGAGTGTCCATGCATGCACCGAGGCGGTTAGCCACAGCGCCATGTGTTGATTGCGGTCATCCCCTGGGCGTTTTCCTCCCTCGATAGACCAGATCACGGACAATGGGCCCAAAACTCCTCTTACTTCCCTCAGTCACTGATGGCCGTGCAACGCAAAAACGCAATTTTCCCCTTGTTTCCCAAATTATATCCAGTGATTTTTCAGCTCATCTTCTGTAAAACCAACCGTCTCTTGAGACACAATGTGCAAAAAATGGAGGGAAATACATTTTTTTCAATCATGTCACGGTCCAGCGACGGGCACTTCAGATCTAATTTTCACCTACCACCTCACGGGACTTGACCGCGGAGGTTTTCTTCACGTGTCGGCAATTCTAATAGCCCGTAAATCTGGCCTCGGCTCCCCGAGGCTCGGCAAGGGGGCAGTGCTAGCTACGCGACGATCCACACCAGGCCACCTTGTCGTAATTCCCCCCTCAGACAAGTTGGTTTTCACGCCCGATTCCCCAGCTGGATCAGTTCTCTGCATGGCAAACAGCCGTCAAATAGCGGGCCCTGCAGACTGAACATGCAATGGTTGACAATTAGTGGATAACCTGGTTTTAAGCGGCCGGGGGACCCGTCTTCACTGCTCGTTTGAAAGTGTAATTACTGCCACAGCATTCAGCTTGAATCCAAACATGGTTACCCTTCTTTGACTCAATATAAGTTCAAAACAAAATACTGTAGACCTACGCACTGTTGATCTTATCAGATGTCATGATGCATTAATGTGATGATTATCGAAATATTTACGTCTGAGGTTAACACTGAGTAAACATTCTTGAGAAAAACAATAACTGAATCGTATTTTTTTCCTCATATAGCAAAAGCAACTTCCCATTCAATTTGTCCTTTTCGTTTTATAGCAATTGTAAGAGGAAAAACATGAAATATGAAATAATTCAACATTTTCGGCTCCAAATCGGTTGCCAGTCACAAGCTCCGAAAGTGTGACTTGCATTCGATATCAGGACTTTTTTCCAAATCGAAACTAATTCGGTGTCAGCGCGTCAGCTTTTTTAAGATGTCCCAACTATGAGCAGAAAGGGTAGCCCATTTGAGGTGTTAAGACACGTCCTTGATGTTGACACCACGATCTGATCGGAATTTGGATATTGCAGTTAAAGTAGCCTGCCTGGAAATTGCTGACTGTATTAAACAACCCGGTTAAGAAAAAAATCGAGCACAGTATAGGTCAAAGGACAAAATAAATTGTGTCACCGATCAAATAGCATCCACTCGTCACTCAATTTGTCGCGGCCCCCTTGGATAAAAATGGGGATTCTGTCTTTGGTTTTTACCCTCTACTTATGAGCAATCGATTTAGCGAATTGGCTCACTTAACATTATAACGTGCACAAGAACTGGACGAAATTAACCTAATTTAAGGATGAAAATAAGAGCTTTTATTAGAAATCCCACACTTTTCATCTTTGTCATTTCCAGGTGTCTTTTTTCAACATGTATTCTTTCACCATTGCTTCATATTTCTTGTGAATATAGGGTTTTGGGCCGATTTTCAACTTTTGATATTCCATGTGATATGCCCATTATTACATGTGATATGCCAATTATTCCACGTTAATAAATTGAGTGCACAGTCAAAAGGATAATCAGTTGTGAAGAAATAGCATCCGATTTGAGACAATACCCACTCAATTTGCTCTAACGCGTATGCAAGTGAAAAAACATCCAATTTCATAAAATGTTCAATAAATTCTGTTATTTCTCGTTTGATTTAACAGATGGAAGTGGTGTACGTTTGGAAATGTGGAACTCGACTATTCATTAGAAGCAGCAATACGTTTGAATACAATTTTTGAAAGTTAAAATCGCTGTATGCCGATCTACAGTTACGACGGAAATTCAAAGAACTTATATCAAACGCGAAAATATTTTTTTTAATGAGGGGCTGGAAAAAAACGTAAAGTGAAAATACATGGAAATATTAGTTGTGCGAAATACTTATCAAACAAAATGTAGCCCTATAATTGGAAAATAATAAGAGGGGGAGAACTAGTCAATAAAAAGGAACTAACGATCATGCAAATAAACCTATTTTTGTGTTTGAAGAAACGAAACCGTTAATTTATTTAATTATGTATCAGTATTATTACCATAATTTTTACAATTTTTACACGATTTTGAGACAAACGTATACAACGAGGATTATTGAAACGGCAATAGAAATTAGTCTTTATCTATGACCTATACATCGAGATGTTACAATACAATATGAATAAACAAAAAGAATCTCTGGAATACTGTGGCAAAGAAATAAAATTGATAAACCCACAGGAAAATGTTAACAGACTAAAAGGATGAATTAATCATATTCTTGCCATCATAAACTTGGTTGGGAATGAGCTCTTGGAGCTTGAAATTACTTGCATCTAAACGAATAATGAAAGTTGAAACTGGTCGTGTGTCACTATATTCTCACACAAATCCCGCGAAATAGGTTACTCTCTGCTCATAATACGAAGATCGAGTGTGCAAATAGAATGCCCCAAAACAAACAAGAATGTTTCTGTGTTTAGGTGAAATGAGTGACCAGCAAATAAATTGAAAAGCTCACAAATGAAATGGAATGCACGTTAATTAAGGCACAAAGAAACGCTACTTAATCCCAGTTGTCCAGAAACACGTGAAATTGAACGATGCTTCAATCCAATTGCATGGAAAAAATATCAAGTCTGCCGAGAAACCTATATAATATCATCTTCTTAAAATCAATCCAGCAAAAACAAAAAAACAAAAAAAACCAAAAAACCCCCAGTTAACCCATTTTTATGTAGCATATCTTCCTGGAATTATCCTTACATCAATTTGTCATACCAAATGTCTTTATTTTCTTTGGTGCCGTTGTTGTATTTATCTTCAGTGCTAATACACCAGAACCGTCTGTCTATTAATGAATTCGGTTATATTCTTGGCTTATGGCTTGGTCGAATTTGAATGAGTTTGGTTTTTAATATTGTTGCCGTTTTGGCCGGTCTTGTGCTTGATTAAATTTAACTCGGACCTTCTTTTCAAAATTGCATTCAAATTTGCGCTTAAGTGAATGACTGAAGCTAATTTTAGAGAAACTTACAGCTCTAAAATCGTGTTAAATGAAACGACAGGGCTCAAACATCAGAGCAGAGCACGTTAAAGAATCATTCAAACCAACAGAAGGTGTGGTTGGTGTCATGTAAAAAGATACATGAAATTGCCAACAGCTACTGAACGCCGTAAGGATGTCTCAAGGTTGACGTGTCTATCATGCGTGAGTATACGCTGCAGGATATAAAATGCGACACATTGTCTTTGTTTTTATGAATGGCTTACGTCATTTTAGGTTCTTACGTCATCGTTCGCAACCTAACAAGTGACGCTGATTGGTCATAGTGTTTTCTAAGCCCCCTTCCGTTTTGACTGAGCTCAAATCAATTAAGAGCTGCAATCATTAAAACCGTGTACGGTATTATCAGTTTTAGAATATACGTTTACGGCACAATAATTAGTCGTGATTGTCCCGCTTATCGTGCATTTAGAATTTTGGTATTTTTCTATAACATGCCATAATCGGCTTGTAAATTACAAAACTACTTGCTCGTATCATTGTTTACATTTTGCAACACAGTTATTGGCTCCATTCTGAAAAAACAGATATTGTTTGAACAATCAGTTTAAACCAAACGCATATTTTAAAACACCTGAACTGAAATACGGCTTTCTTCAAGGGGCAAAAAGTAAAAATTGTACCTTTAAAGTCGATATCGTTTGCTAAAAGAAACGCCGCCCACAGACGTAATTATGTGCAATTTCCAAGCGTGAAGAATATGGCCACCGAAAATAGGTAGGCCCTATGTTTTGAAGAGAAGTTGTAAACTGTGCTGTGTATAATAGTCACTGATTTTCAAAACATCGTAAAATGGAAATCATGTTGTCCTTTTGTGTGGAAGAAATGTAGAAGAGGAAACAAAAATGGAGATCAAAGGCAGTGCTAATTTGCTTGATTTGTTTATTCTGCAGAGTCCGTAAATTTTAACATTTTGAGATCATTTAATTAGTTCAGCTCACAACGGAGGCTCACAACGAAACCTGAAACAAATACATGTATGTGTATATTAGTGAATTCAACATAATAAATCATGGTGACACTCGTGTGAGATTTTTTTCCCGTTAATATTTTAGAGGTGTTTTCTGAAAGAGTGCAGTGCCGTTGGCATGAATTATTATTTTATTTATATTTTACTAATGCGACATTTAAAAACCACGACCAAAGCAGCAAAATGAGAAAGGTTGAGCAAATACTCCACAGTGCCAACGCCTACAACCAGTCATTCAGACGAAAAAGACAGATTGAACTATTACAGTGCCAAACAAGGGTGGATCCAGAATTAATTTTTTTTGGTTTGTGGCGGGGGGGGGGGGGGTTTTTTTTGGGGGGGGGGGGGGGGGGGGGGGTAAAAATATTGGNTTGTGGGGGGGGAGGGGGAGGGTTGGAGCTAAAAATTATGGCCTATCAGCATGATGGGTGGGGCTAAAATGTAGGGCTTTTTACACACACTTGGAAGGAGGGGCAGTGTCCCCCGGGATACCGAATTATGTCAAGCGTTCAGCGACTCAGACAAAGCTATTATGCACATCACAAGTTCCACTTGATGTGTTTTTCTCTCTATCGGTCGCCTCTATTTAGTATTTGGGCATTGCAACCTGGCACTCGTTAATTTACAGTTGTTGCATGCACTCTAGTCGCCGTGTAGCCGACCATCTTCGACGTGGCGACTGGTGCGATCTCCCGTTCAGCGCCCACGCGAGTTCGCATATAACGTCCCAGCTACACGCTGGACCATCAGAGCAGTGATAGACGTACCACGATGGGCGAGAACAACTTTGTGCGGAGGAAAAAATCAGTTTGATCCCTCATATTTCTGGTCTCCATGGAAACGTGTTGCTAGTCCACATCAGTGGTGGCCCATCGCATCGCCAGGTTCTTTCGTCTGCACTGAATGGACACGTTCATTTTCAACCCACCGAGTGCAAGATGAAGTAGGCGGCAGAGGCGGCACGCTTTATATAAAGTATCATTTCGAGTGCTTCTTTCGATTAACCAGTTTTGCCATCAACACGAGGGGAACTGGAAGTAGAGCTTATAGTCTCTCGAGTCGTGGTGCCGTGTACCGACATCCAAGGATTGACGTCCAGTTTTTTACCTTTTGTAGGAAATCTGTATTATCCAATCGGTAACATGTCTGGATTGTTTCTGACGATGGTTTGTCTGATCCTCAGTGCTCTTGTCCTCACTATGGGCCCGCTGACGGTGGAGTCGACCAGGATAGGAGGTAAGGAACTGGCACACCGCAAGGTGAAGGGTTGTCGAGGAGGGTCTGGCCCAGTAGCTATGCCGAGCAAAACAAAATCGAGCACCACCCCCCTGATTTAAGGCTTTATACTATACACCTTTCGTATAGCGGCCATCCTTCTTAAGTTGTGTAGGTAACGTTTAAAGCAAACAAGGGCTCTTACAAGGTGCGAGTTTCCTTTAACATTGGGCAAGTGAATTTGAAGTTACTATAACTTTGATTTTTAAAAACAAATATCGTTCCAAACATGACAAAATTTCTTTCGCTCGTTTTTTCTTCTCTAATTTTGTCGTCAAGACACTGGGACGAAACGGGAAGAAACCCCCTCCCCTATTTCTTCGGCTTGTCTACAAAAAGTGGACTCGAGTACTGCAGAGCATACCGACACTTTGGGCAGCTGCTTATTTTGGTTGGGCTGCCTTAAAAGAAAGCTCAATCTTTAACGGAAGAAAAACTTATAGTGCGCCTATAAGCCGAGCATCCAAAATGACCGGGGTTCCGCGCGTGATTTTACAATTTTGGCCGAAAAAGACCTTTGGGCGCCACCTACTTGGGTTTCAGACAAATTCCTGCTCAGTATTCATATAGTCTGTGACTTCGATTTCTCATCAGATTTTTGTTTGTTTCTTCCGCCCCCTAAAAGATCGGGCGACATTTCGTTTCGAAAGTGTGATTCGTCTTGGGTTTAACCTCGACTTCAGCTGTAGCATAACGATGTTACCCGGTTCTAAATCGTGTGTAGAAATGTAATGTGGTAGAGCTAGGATGGGGTAAGGATGGCACCCCTGGAGTGTTGGCAAGTAAAATGGTAGTGAGCAGCGAGGGTCACGTCTAAGACCCCTAACCACTTCTGTCCACAGTGCACGTTTTGTTCAATCCTGTCCAATAACCATGATTACCCCCTCCTCAACATCTTCACAATATTTTGTTCACCAGATGCGAAGAGACGAAAATCGATTTTTTTGGAACTAGTTTTTGGCGTGCTTTCCGAGTTTACAACTGGTTGTTGCGTGAACTCAGATAAAATAATTCGCCGGGGCGTCCGTGCAGCATTTAGGAAAGCTGAAACATAAGAACTTCATATTAACAATCGGAAAACAAATCAGAGTTGGGAAAAATAAAGGCCAAATATCATGTTAGAAATAATCGAGTTACTCCAGTACTTTGATCCTTTGTCAAGCTCCCAAAACTGGGCGTGTAGCGGGAGGGGAGTTTGAAAAAAGGTAACAATTAAAAAAGAAGAGAAACCAAAATCGGAAGAAAGATGAAAATCACCAATATATTTGAAAACACCTTAGAATTGACCGAGTCCAAAGGTAATAGTTTATCCGTTTCCTGCTGATATGGCCCCCGGAAAAAAATCTGATTGCCCTGGAGAAAATCCCGGAGACGCCCGTGGCCACTCCCTGTTTTTGCAAAATAATTAAAAGCCCTGGTTATGACAATGTCATGTCTCGGATAACACACTCACTATCGGGCGCACATTTGGTTTGACTATTGCAAAATATAATTGTTCGTTAAATTTCAAAATATGAAGATACTGCATGTTGAGATAACAGGCGACTCGGGAATGCATTGGTTGCACAGTATTCGCCGCTTGTATCACCTATTTTCAAAATTCTTACTTTGCATTTATGATCTACGTACGTTTGTACCCTCTCCAGTCATCCTTAAAACCAGTTTGCAGCGTCCTGATTTTGCCACGTTGTACCACCCTGGCTAGACCACTGTGGACCACAGCCATAACTGGTTATGTTTTGCAGCTCTTTTTGCAAACTGGATACTGATGTAAAAAGGTTTAAGATGCTTATTCTGCACTTTTTTTTTTTAATTGAGAAGAACTGATTATGAGTATTACTTTACTCTATGACACAGGTGGCGCAGGTTGTAAGGCCTATGTGGAGGAGGCTATAGGTCAAGTTAGCCGTGACTGGGTTCATGTGACTCTGCAATAAGCCTTTGCGAGTAACATTTGAATAAAATCTGGTACACCGAGTTCTTAAAATGTACGTGAACATAACAGTTTGAATTCTCCAGGCTAAAGACGCTGTTGCTATACCTCGTGATTCGGGGCAAGCTTTTGTTTAGTTACATAAGAGACGCCTTGCACCAATACGCTGTTTTCAATGGATAAGAAAGGCACAAAGCGAACAGTCCATTCCAGAGATGGTGGTCACTATGCAAAAGCTTGCCCCGAATCACGCCATAGCGACAGTTTCTTTAGTCTGGAGACTTTAAATTGTTACGTTTATGTGCAATCAGATAACTCAGTGTTCCAAATTTTATTCAAATGTAACTCGAAAAGGCTTGTTAATCGTCCTGCGACCCGCCAAATCCACGCCAACCTGTGAGGAAACGCGAGTACTCTTGACAATACCATATACGGACTCGCTCGCAATTATCATCGAAATAAAGACATCGTGATTCTATGCATAAATACCATTACAAAAACGACTGCCAGAGGCTGGTCACATCATGTGTAGAGCTTCCCCGGTCACTGCAAAATTCCTGTATTAAACACTACTGTAAATTTCACATAGCTTCATTGGGCAAAATACGTAAATGCTGAAGATCGCTGGAATAATACGAGATGATTCATTCTAATATGTTTGTATTGTGTATTAAAACTGTTCTTGTTGGTGGGGGATGATGGTTTTGCTCGATAAGTCAACATTTCGATGGTTCAAAGATTTATTAATCTGAAGAAAACCTTAATAGCAGGACTGTCAAACCAAATAATCTTTTCAGCAGACTTTAGTGAATCTTCTCGTCGACTGAAACAGTCGAACCTTATCGTTTAGTAGGACTATTTTTGGATGATTACACCTCATTCCCATCCTCAGAATGTTATTCCATTATGGAATTCAGACAAACTTGACTAACGCCCTGTTGACTATAATGTACCCTTCGGTGGGTCAAACCTTCAGGGTATCGAGTCCTCAGGCTATGGAGCACTAACCTATCTAGGAAGGGGGGGGGGCTTAGATCTTCATCTGGTGTGAAACATACTAGGGTGGGGAAGATATTATTCCCTTCATTTTTTTTTACCAAAGACTGTCACAAAATGGGGACTGAAACGAGAAATGTTTCTTTTTTCCTGTGGCGACTGCTTGGGGTTATACTCAACAATTTCCACACATTAGTGACTGTTGTTGATGCCTTATCAGAGACTATTAACCTTTCTGCCAGGCTAAGTTTAGAACTGCATTTGGATGATGTGGTGGTTAGGGCTGTTCATGTTCTTTCAGTGCCCTGCTCAGTCCTTCTGATGGGGACATTTACTAATTGAGTCCCCCTGGGTGAAATTGGACTTTATTTATAATGCCACGAGTCCAGTTATGACTAGTGATGGCTATTTTTTTCACGAAATATCAGCCTTTGTGCTGATAAATGGATAATAAATGGATTGAGTTGGCTTGACGCGTAGAAGACCTCTCTTTTCATCCCTTTCGACAAAAGTGAGGTGAATTACCGCTAGTTGACGTTCTTCTAGGTTGGAGCTGGAGCTGCCGTTCCACAAGCGAATGCAGAACCACTTTTCTAATGAGGGGCTGAGTCAATTTTGCGCGGGGGCTCAAAAATCAAGGAGTTTTCTTCACGTAACTGTCTTGGGCCTTTCTGAGGGGTGAAGCTTAATGTCTGGAACTTTTAGAGGAAAAGCTGAAATGACAATGCCAAGAGAATTCCATAATACATGTCCCTGACTCCACACCTGACGCGAAACCTTTATCAAAAATTCGTGCAATTTTCGAACCAATCGAAATATACATATTTCTGCATGTCCAAGTTAAGTTTGTGCAACAACGTCTTCGGAACGAATGTGGGATGAAAAGTGCTGTTATGAGCAGAATCGGAGAGCAGTGTGCCAACATTTTTGAAATGTTATCTGCATGGAATCTTCCAAAATATATGTACCTGTATCTTCAAATTGTTGACAGAGGTGATAGCAAATCAATTTTTACGAGTCCAAGTTAAGTCACACTTCTAAAACTGATAGTTACGAGTCACGAGTCACAAAAATAGCAACTCGAGTCCGACTCGAGTCCAGTCAAGTGACTCGAGTCTACAATTCTGATTGTTGAAAATGCCACCCTCACCCCAAAGTCTCCCCTTTGATGCCACTCGGGAAGGTGGTCCTCGAGTAGACCTACTTGCCATGCCCAACATCTTTGACTTTCATCCTCCAGGTCATTTTGTAATGTACTCATGAAGGCTATTGCACACTTAAGATTTTTTCAATACGTGAAAATATTGGTTATTTTCCTACTTTGTGCTCGTGTGTGAACGCCCTCCCCAGGCCAAGAAAATCTCTCCCCTAATGCTCCTCAAAATGGTTTCCTTGAGTGTTTCATTACTTCCCATTAATTTTAGTGATTAGATATTTGGAAACGGCTCGACTCCATTTTGGAAAATCAGAACCCAAAATAATGACGACATAAAGTGTTAAAGTGTCACAAATGATAGAAAAACAATAGATCTCGCCATTGTCCGAACATGGACGCATATTGAAAAATCTTGTAGTCGTTCATTCAGATATATATTTACCATATTCCTTGGGACAAAAACCACCGTTTGCTAGGGAACTTTACTTCCACCCCCTGCCGAAGGGAGACTTTGAAACACAGGTGGCAGCAGACATAGCGGTCCTTTCTCACAGTATTATGCGTGCTCAGATCTATGCAACAATTCACGCATGCTCAGAACTGGTGAAAAGGACCGGTATGTGAGCCGCAACTCCGCGTCTCAAAGTCTCCCATTACAATCCAAAACGAACAAAGTGCATGGAGGTTTCTGAGTTCCAATCGTGATTAACATGTGTTGCATTCATTAATGGCAGTTCTCGTATTTCTTCTAAATCCAGGTCCTGGAAGAGAATTTCAAGTGCAGAAGAGAAGCTGCAGTAGAGAAGACGGGCAAGCGGCGCTTGCGCAATGTGGTAGGTGGACGAAGGCGGCATGGGAGTGGGGGAATCCAGAGGCCAAATAGGTGCTGAATTGAAAACCATCGATGGATCGTCAAGCAAAATCGGGTGGCCATGTAGATGGACTGATCGCTCCAAACAGAGAAATAAGAAGTGTTTTGTCCGATCCAGTCTGCACTACGGGGTAGTACCAATTAAGGGCCGGATTGTTCAGTGGGACGGGAAGCACTATCATGCCCACTGCCAATAAACCGCCAAAAAAGCTCCAGTGTTAATATAACATACTGCTTATTCAGACTGGGTAGAGTACACCCAAGGCGTTATATAGATTAACATCCATTCAACACCAGCAATTTTGCAATGTACGAAAACTTCGGGGTCTGCAAAAATTAGGGCCCGACTAATATTCAGCTGTTAGCCTTTCACGTTCCCTTTGGAATTGTCAGAGTGTACTCGCAAGTCTTCCGATCCGGCGTGACGCGGATTAAAATTACTTCCATTCCCTCCAATTCCGTTTCCTACAACTGTTTTAGACCTTTTTCAACCCTGACAAATTCGTCTGAGGCCTGTTGAACCACCTTGGAAATAAACCATTGGCTTTCATGGGCTATCCCGGCACCAGCTCATTTCCATTGGTTCACTTGCAATTGCAGTTGCTTGATTTCTTTTCCTCTTTTTTTCTTAATTTTATGTGATTTGATGTTTATTGTACGTACTGATATTCTGTGCCTAACTGAACCGAGCCGAACCAAATACCGATTTGTCAAGAATCAAGATAAGACGCAAAGGTTCAGCGCTTACTATGCACAGCTGTGAAAATCAGTACTACTACAATGGTGGAGTAGAAAGGACTTGCAAACACTGGTGCCTAGGGTTAGTATACGGTTCTGAAGAGATGTTTCTGTAGGTAATTTTTCCTATCTGCGTGCTTTCAATATCCCAGCAAGCCACAAGATCTTGAAACTGATTAAAAAAGAAGTTTTTATCAGACAAGACTAGTGGACGTCTTGAACATACAAGGTATATTGCACACGGCGGCCTATTTTGTGGGAAATGTTAAATTTCCTTAGTGAGTTTGGAAAAGTATCGATGGAAAGTATCATTAGCGTTTTGGTCTAATTCAGGCTTTAAAAAGTAGTCCAGCTCGAAGGTCAGACTCTAAAATGGCACATGCTATATGAAACAGAGTGTTAAATATCAAGGTTTAATAAGCCTAATCACAAGGTTTCATCAACTGAAAGGCCAAGTGGTTTAGAAAAACCGTTGATGAAAGATACTACCAAAGTGCAGCTGACCTTTACAGACAACGCCAACGTCTTCATTATTCATTCTTATACCTCGTCATGTTGCCGGTAATAGCTGCCGTGATGGGCTTATTATCTGAAAGCACCACTCATCAAACGCGCGCTTTGAAACCAAGCCTAATTTTCCAGTTCCAAATTGGTCTAAAGGTAGGCTGAGGACGCCAAAATGTAAGGCATCCTGAAAGTAACACCCAATAAATTTTGCACAATAACGCTTCGCATTTCAATACAAAGACTGTTTTCAGGATCAACGTACTGGTAAGTTTTCTGCACTTTTGAATATATAAAGGGATGTCGGGAGTATAACCCAAACGACAACTTGAACCGTAATGGTCAGTTTTGTGATACATGGACACGATTTCAATATCTTGATGAGTAAGTCCCATTTTTTTCCCTGAAAGCCGGCATGCCAAGCGGAATTCATTGCACCCAAGCGGCAGCTCACTTTGGGGTTTCCTGTAAAAAAATCGAAACGAGTAATGTGACATCGAGAAAGGTTTTTTAAGGGCTGCGGAATTGATGTACATTGTACGTGCCCACTGGTTTCACTCAACAAGTGATACTCAGAGTCAGACTATGCGAAAGAGAAGAAAATGAATAGTCAAAAGTAAACAAACGTCACGTCACTGATAATTGATAACATTTTTAGAGGACACTTACATGCAAGAAACAGAAGGAAGATTATTAGAAGTTACATTTCATTTATATAGACTGCTCGACCTGAGTAGCGTAGCCAGGCTCTTGGTAGAGGGGGGGGGAAGTTCAAACAAGGGGACAGCTGCCCCCTTACCCCTTAGGCTACCCCATTGCGTGACCTCGAGCTCAAGCGGTGCCGAGGCTAATGGATATTGTGCTGTGTACGGGTCGTATGGGTCCGTGAGTAGACCGTTGTCTGGACACCGCTTCCAGATTAATTGCATCAGGTTCCGGTTCTTTAACCTTGTGCTCGGGGAAATATCGTGATGAATGTGGTTCACTTGGCGAGATACATTTACCTCTCATTAGGGGCTCTCCATCTGACCTTAATGACCAGGGACTTCGCCCTGGATTTCCCGAGAAACACTGGTGCTTACACCGAGCGTTTCTTGCAGTAAGCACAGGCCAGTTTCCGCTTTGGGGTGGGATGACAATAAGTTATCGTAGACGATCATTATACTATTCCAAATTCAAAATACATTTTTACCAGTGACTGTGATACTGTGGTCTAATGATGTTATTTATTTCTCAAGAAATAAAGTATCGCACAAAATAACAAAACACTGAGAAAAAGCTGTTAAAACTGCCAGGAAAAAGAACGCAAGCGGCCAGGATGTCTGCTAAGATTCGGGTTTTTTTTATAACTCGTGTCTAGTTTAATACAGTCCGTCTTGTCCACGTACAAGAAGTACCTCAGAGTGAAACTTATCAGGAGAAAAGGATTGGTGTGCTCATAAAGAGGTTCGACTTTTTCTTTTGAAAATCATTGCAAAAGAGAACTTTGGGATACCTGGAAAATAAAAAAGAAGCAACCCAAAAGACAAAGTAGACAATTTTTGCTCACAATTCTCCCCTAAAATCGACTGCTAAATTTGTTTTCAACTTGTCCATAATAACCGCTTATCTTTGTCTTTTAAATATCACCATTTAGGTCGAAACGAAAGATGCCGAGCAAGAGTGGATATAGTGATTGCCAGAACTTGCGGTGAGTATAACCAGCATACGATAATAGTGGCGATAGCATAGCATCATTTGATTTCGTGAAAAAGCCATGTCCGAAACTGGCTCCAAAGCGACGGTATGTGCCAACATGCGTTTTAACCGGAAAAGACCTAGCTGTAGACGCAAAATTTGGACGCGGCCTTTAAACGGAGAGATCGCCAAAACGGAATAGCGTCTTCTTAATGGGTTGCTCAACGACTTTCATCTTTGCCCTGTACTTATCGCTTGTCATTTATTGTATATTTACTTTTAAATTAAAGAGTGAGTAGTCAGTCCCAACCCAAAAGCTTTTCTTATTGTTCAATCTCAAATTGGGTCTATAATGCAGCAAAAACAAAATTAATGCCAAATTTCAAGAGGTCTGTACGTTGGAATCCAATTGAGGATACGGTAACAATCGGGTGTCGAATCCCGGGGCTCATTCAGACACGAAAGATGATGAAAAAAAAGCCTTGAAGCAACATGAACCATGAATTCGACTCGTAGTGGGCATGAGGCATTTTGCATGTTGGCCGCTTTTTGTGCATGATCAGTCTAGACGGGGGCAAAGTCCTGCAATACAAATAGAAGTACTTTTTCAATATGTCATGCATTAGTAATGTAAAACGGTTTGGCAAGCACCAGATCAGTTCTCAGTATGCCCGTGGATTGCTTCTCCAAACGTGGGACAGGGTTGGACATTATACGGCCTAACTCCGGCCGTTTACTCGTAAAGCTTATGATACATAATAATGTACATAGTCGCATGCATTAGCATAGGCCGAAGCCTCCAGCGCCTGGCACCAGCGGTGCAAAGCCGGTGAAGTAAGTCCTATGGAACACCAATGCCTTGGTCCCTAATACGGAGTACTTAATCACGCCCTCGCCCAAGGGCCGTAATATTTGGAGGCAGCATAGTGTATTCCCAAATAATCTGAAAGGGTTAAGCCAATTTTTTTTTACCCATATCGTAAATATCTCCAAAGACGGGACCACACTTTTACAAAATATTGAAAGTATTTGAAAAAGTGATACCCCTTTCCTCGTATGATTCTGTAGCCTGGACGGTGGTATTTATTAGGCGTATGCAAGGAGAGGGGACCTGCTTTGTTCGAGTACAAGACTTGTTCAGAAATATCCAAGGTCCAATGACGCTCCATGTCATTAAGACATGATCAGTCATTACGTATTCTAGACGTTTGAAAGGCACATTAGAATTTAAATTTGAAAATAAAAAATTCAACACCGTACTTCCACACGAATGACCAGAGTGAGCCCTTCACGGTGCATTTGGAAGGGGAATGGAGGATATTGCCGTTTCTCAGTCTCCGCCAAAAATACCTTGAGGCCCAGGGGCTCTCCCCGTCCCCCCTCGGGATCATTATCGGCAACTCTTTGGCATAGTTAAAAAGCACATTCAGAGTTAGAGGGAGAGTGTCCGTTTCAACGTCTCGGTACTGGATAAACAGCACGGGTCTAAAATATTGAACGATCTGTGTTTGATAGGCCTATAAGAATTGATTGTTGAGAGTATTTTGGTGTAATGTAAAATAACTGGGGAGAGTAAGATTATTCGGGAATCGTCATTGCCGTCCATTTGTGTCGGGAGGGATATCCCCGCCCCCATCACCACCCAAAGTCAAGGCACGCCTTAATTATGGCGTCTTGCGCCAAGTAATAATTAGGGCTGAATTATGCTCT